CAGATATCTCTGGTCACTGTCAAATTCGCCGCCAAGCTAACGTAAAAGAAAGAATAATGGAAGACAAAAAAAAAAAAAAAAACAATACTCAAATTACATATGGAATTGGTACCGTTCTAACATTTTCCAAGATGTGAACTTGTTAAAACTTGTTTCTACTACGAACTTGGACTCAAGCGGTTAATTGGTTGTTTCCAACAAGTTAAGCTTCCATTATAGCCACCGCACAATTTTTCGAAACCTGAAATCCGAGTGGGGCATAAAATAACCCTAGGTTGGAACACCATCTGATATAGTCTTAGCCCTGTTGGGTAAGCAAAGAACTCTAATTCTTTGCTTCTCAAATTGCAAGAGAAGAAAGCAGAATCAAGAGACCCGCCAAAATCAGGAAGAACACCCACAGAAACAGAATTTCTGGCTTTTCTTAATGCATTGCTGACCAACCTCATAAAGTGTTGTAAACTCCGAGCCATTAATCTCACGATCTATGTCGATGATGACAATGCTAAACGTTAGCATTCTCACAACACTTCATGACTTCTCCTCCAACCTCTGTTAGGGTCTTCTTCTTCCCGTCTCCAAACGCTCAATGCATTCTGTCCCGTGGAAAATCAGGGGTAAGGCTCCTTGAGAGGTGCAAACTGACGAGTAGGAATAGTCGACCTCAGGATCATCAACAAGAGTTGTGTTTGTGTCATCTAGTGGGCGGAAAGGATTCCACTCGATAAATTTCCCATCCAAATTCTTCCAATATAAGTTAACGAACTAAACAGAAATCAAACACACAGATTTAACGTGGTATCCGTGGAATGCCAAGACTAATTCACGGGAGATTATGACTCTCCAAACACAAAATAGTACTAGCTTTCTTGAGTTTCGACGGAGGATTACAAGCAACATAAATAGACCACACAAACCCTACACAATCACGTCAGCAGGTGCATGGGTGCATGGGCTAATACATGGGCCAATCATCAAACATCAACGTGGCCTATTAATATATCTAATCCACTAACACCCTCCCACAAATTGATGCTGGGGACGAAGCATCAATTTGTTTGAGAGGTACCAGTGACGACTGCTAGTAAATGGCTTAGTAAAAATGTTAGCGATCTGGTCTTCCGCCCGAACATAGTGAAGCTTAACCGAACCGTCCCCAACTACAAACATAATGAATATGAAGCTCTATATGCTTCGTGATCTGGATAGCGCTAGTATTATCCACAAACAACTCGAGGGGAACGAAGCACGTTACACCCAAATCACCAAGCAACCGCCGAATCCAGACAAGTTCAGAATAGACATCACATATGGCGCGATACTCTGCTTTAGTAGAAGACTTTGACACTTTATCATGCTTCTTACAACGCCATGAAATGAAGGCCCCGACAAACTAAACACACCACCTGGTAGTAGAGCGTCGTGTATCAATGCAACCTGCAAAATCAGAATCCGAGTATGCATGAAGGACGTTATAACCCGTAGATGGGAAGAACATACCGACGTCATGAGTGCCCTGAAGATATCTCAGGATCCGATTAGCAGCGACAAGGTGATCTCGACGCGGGGCAGCCATGAATTGGCTCACTACTTGAACAGCGTACAAAATGTGTGGACGGGTGGCGGCAAGGTAGATTAGACTACCTATAAGACTCCGGTACTGTGAAGCATCAGGAAGGAGTTCTCCTGGATCATGGCACAATTTCAAATTGAGCTCCATAGGAGTACTAACTGGTTGACCAGGGGCGGAGCTAGCTAGGATTCGAAGTTCCGGGGGGGGGGGGATTTTTTTTATTCTACTACTTCGAAAAGACGATAAAAATTAAGGAAACAATATTTTTAATATTATTATAACTAGCATTCTAGATGATTAGAGTTACTCAAAATAAGATCAATACTACAACTTATTTTGTGTAGACAAACTCAAAAAGGTGAATACGTCATATCCATAAGTTTTGTTTATGACTCCATTAATTTGTGTGCTTCTAAAATTAGTATTGATTTACCAGTTGGAGTTCAAAGTGCATAAAATGCATTTCATCTTTGAGTTAGAGACGAAGACAGAATTTGACGTCGCGAAGGGAAATTTATTTTGTTACTGCGAAAAGACAATAAAATTAAGCAAAAAAATAATATAAAACTTAATGTTGAAAATAAAAGAGTTAAGAAACCATATTGAAATTACAGAATTGAGAATCCACAAGATAAAAGTTAATGAGATTAAAGATAAAATTAAAATACAAACCCATAATCTGATGGATGCAATAGAAGGATTCTTGCCACTAGGCCATAAAATTAAAATACGCCACCTCTAGGTTTCGAACCCATAATCTGATGGATGCAATAGAAGGATTCCTGCACTACGCCAATTTCCTTTCCTGTTATAATAATTCACATTAAATTGTCTTATACAAACTCATCAGTTATACCGATATAGTTTATGCGTAAGTTCTGAAATTCTCGGCGGGGCCGGGGCCCCCCCAAGCCTATGTGTAGCTCCGCCCCTGTGGTTGACAATCGACAAACTGATGATCATTAAACAAGTCACTAATATACTTTCGCTAACCAATGAATATCCCGCCACTATCTCGGGTAATCTCGAGTCCCAGGAAATAAGGTAACTCCCCCAAGTCCTTCAAACTGAATGTCGACTGAAGCCCTGTCTTAAGATGCGCAATACCCTGAACATCATTGCCTGTGACCACCATATCATCCACATACAATAGGAGGACAACAATACCTGAAGATGAGGTCTTGGTAAACAATGATGGATCACTCAAACTCTGGCGCATCCCGAGCTGCAGTATAGTAGACTGAAATTTCTCAAACCAGGCGTGAGGATCCTGTTTGAGACCATACAAGGAATGGTGGAGAACACTGTAGACACCACATTTTTTCGGAGCGACCATCCTACTCAGAACTCAGAAGAATATCCTATTTAAAATTCAAAAAGGAATTTTGAAGTGAAAGTTTGAACGAGGTTGGTTGAGATTAGCAATGACAAATCAATAAATACCAACGATTTCCAAGTTCACTTTTTTTATTTAGTTCTAAAATTTATACTAGGTAAGATTAGCAGTGGCTAATAGCTACCAAATTCGCTTTATTTAGGACAACAGTAGTACGTCGTTAACGATTGGTGGCGTAGGCTTGTAATTGGTCAAATGGGATAGGAAGACTATAGTAATCTTACTAATATTAGTCAAAATTCATATTTAGGAACTATTTACTTAGAAATTGGGATATGGGTTACGATTGGAGAAAAAACAAGCAAATTGGGTTGGAAAGGCAATTCAGAAAGTTTGTGCAGACTTCCTGTGGCATGGAGATGGGACTGGTAGAGCAAAGGTGGCATGGGAGAGACTGGCACTGCCCAAACAGGAAGGAGGTTTAGGTATGAAAGACTTACTAACTTGGAATGTGGCTTGTGTCTCCAGACTACTCTGGTTGATTCTCATTAAAAGTGGTAGTTTTTGGGTAGCCTGGGTTCACAGGTATAGAATTAGAGGGAGATCTATATGGCAGGTTACAAATAATTTGACTGGTTCTTGGATCTGGAGGCAGTTGTTGAAAATCAGATCCTGGGTGCAATTCAGATTAGATGTTGATTCTTTGGGAAGAGTGACATGGCAGGGGAAGCAGATGAGCAAGTTCTCAGTGTCCACAATTTGGAAGACCATTAGGCCAAAAAACCCAGTAGTTGATTGGTGGAAGGTTATCTGGAATAGGTATGTTTTACCAAAAAATAGAGTAGTGACTTGGCTGATTATTTTGGATCGCATAGCTACTAAAGACAAGTTGAAGCTATGGGGGATCTCACAGGATGAGCAGTGTGTTCTGTGTGACGCTGGAGTGGAGACCCGTGAGCATCTCTTCTGTCAATGTAGTTATACTGTGGAATTTGTGAGTTGTCTGTTACAGTAGAGGGTTAGTCTGACTAGCAGATGGGAAGAGCAGTTGCAGCTGATGTGTAGAAGGGCAAGATCAGGAGGGGACAATGGCTGTGTGGAGGTGGTGTTATGGTGTTGGTGTGTGGCCTCTATCTGGAAAGAGAGATGCAGAAGATGCTTTGGAGGGCAAGTTAAACCAGCTTCTCAGTTAGCAGATCAGTTACGGGAAGAGATCAGCTTGTACTGCTGTGGGAAGTCAGATTTTGAGATTAGATTTAAGGGATCAGATTACTCTAGTTGTATTAGTTAGCCTTTCTCCTTTTCCCTGTTTGTATTGGCTTTGACCAAACTGTATTTTCGACTCTTAGCTGGGTTTTCAGCTAGAGAGGGTGCTTAATGAAACTGCTAATTACCGAAAAAAAAAGAAAAAAAAAGAATCAATTGAATGTTTGGGCCATACAATAATTACATGATCTTTGTAATGATAAGTTGCAAAAATAATTACATGCGTAATTACAAAGTACAAATGTACACTTGATAATTATTACATTTAAAAGATGAACAAACAAGAAATTCAGAATAAATAAAAAGAAAAGACTTCTTCCTTTTTTTTCTTTTGGAGACCAATCAGGATTGGAGGCCTAGCCTTTAGAGGCTATTTGGGCCTCCATAGATCATCATCTTGGGCCAGAAACATACCAAATAGGGCTGGCCATTCGGTTATCGGTTGCCGGTTAACCGGCCGGTTAAACCGATAACCGGCAGTTACCGGTTAACCGGATAACCAAAAAAAGGGGTTGCGGGCGGTTGGCGGTTGTGAGGCTGGTCGTATCGGTTAACCAGCTAACCGACGGTGATAAGCGTCGGTTAACCGACTAACCGGCACGACTAGCCCTGTCTCAAGCAAAACGACGATGTTGCTGAATCCTCTTGTTCCGGAATAGAGATCTCAGTAGGGAAATCTGTGCGGCACTCGAATTCCCAATCCTCGAGAGCTTCGAAGCGCATCGTTACTCTTTTGTACAGAGTAGCGAAAATCTGCACCCCCAAAAGAACAATGGTGACGGCGCACAGAGCAGATGTGAGAGCGATTACCGAGGGTGCAAAACACTACGGGGATTTCTCCGCCGGCGGCGGCGAGGGGAGCACGGAGATGTTGAGCGGCGGGGCTGGGTCTCCATTCGCCGAGAAGCTCCACCCGAGGATGTAGTGCGCGCTCGCTTTCTCCCCGATCGACGCCGAGAAGCCGACGTACATGAGTTCCCTGACGACGGGGGTTAGATCCAGGGATTCGGAAAGCAGGGGAGTGGTTGGCTTGCGATTGCCGGCGGGGGAGACGGTTACATCGACACGCTTGAGAACGGCGTCGTATTCCACCCAAGCTTGAATACCGCTTGTCGCTGATTCCTGTCGTCGACGAAATAGGCGATTACTAATTAAACAGGCGGCCATTGCATCTCGCGGTTACTTCGGTTAACCGAGAAACTAACCGGTAACCAACCGGTCGGTTGCCGGCTAACCGACAGCTTTTTTCGGGCGGTTGGCAGTAACCTTTGGTGGCGTCGCGGTTAACCGGTAACCGACATTTTGGTTATCGGTTATAACCGAACTAACCGAAAATCCAGCCCTAATACCAAAGACCTGTAAAAAGAAAAAGAAACTATTAGAAACCAGTCCACACTTAGGCCCAATTCTCAAACCATAAACCCAATCCAGGCCCGTATCAGTCAGCCCAGTCCATACAGGTCAACCGGCCCGGTCAACCAAAGTCAACGAGTCAGCTTTCGTCAACTTGGGTCAACCGACGTCTTATGGCCTTATCCCATCCCAAAGACCAGGCATAATGACTGTCACTTCTTGAAATGAGTAAAGCAGCCACCTCTCAAGAGCAACCAACCAAACATTACCAACACACCAAAATGAACAGTAAAAATCCAGTTATATAAACTAGTGGTACCACAAAATGAAAAAATATAGAGGGAAGGGTTCCCGGTTCCAGAAAAATAGAGGGGAAGATAGCACAAAAATTACACAGCAAGCTTGATAAGACAGGCATGAATCAAAAGTTATGAAGGATATCACCACAATCTCTTAATCTAAAACCCTGCAAAAGTGAGGAGTAATATTAGAATCGTCAAAAATTTCGAATCTAGAAGATACAAAACAGAAAAATAGATCTAGCTTACCCAGAAAGGGTTTCAAGGGTTCTAGGCTTGTCTCCTGCCGCCGGCAGCTGCTCCTGCGACGGTGGTGTCGGCTCCTGCAACGGCGGCTGCGAGCTGTCCTTTTTTCCTTCGATTACAACCCGAAAATCCCGAATGAAAAATAAACTGTCAAAATTATAAATAAAGATAAATCTAATTAAAATTCAATTCGTCAAACTTACCGAGAGAAGGAATCGAAGGGTTTCGGTGGAGTCTCTTGTCGGCGGTTGCTGTTGACGCAACGGAGGCCCGATCTCAGCCCAAGTTTCCCCTTGCACAACCCACAAGACAAAAAATCATAATCTGGTTGTAACATCCCATTTCGGCTAAACCCATATTTCGATCGCTAGAAAGTTCGCGATTTAAAATCGAGCATTTTGGCAGTTTTTCGACGAAAATCGGATTATCGATCGATCGGATAAGTATATCGATTAATTATATATATTATATTTATATAATATATATATAATTACCGATAAAATCAAAGAGACGGTCGGGGGCGCTTATTAATTCATTCTTCCTTCTTCCCCAGTACATTAAAAACTTAAAGTGTTCCTTCTTTCCTTTTTTGGGTCGAGGGTATCAGAGCGAACAGAGGAGTTCAGGGAAGGGACGAGGAAAATTCTCAGTGTTTGATTCTCCAGTTCTAGTGATCCAAAAATCCCGTAAGTAATGCCTAATTCATTTATACATCGTGATTTATCGATTTAGAGCTTTAAAACGAGTTTTTGGTTCAGGAATTTCTTGAATTCCCGATAAGTCAAATTAGGGTTTCGGAGTATCTGGAAGCCAGATTGAGCCCAAATTTCATATACGAGCTTCCTGAAGCGAGGTAATCAATCCTCTAGTTCTAATCCATGAATTTCGACAATTATTTAGGTCGGGTTCCAAATCGCTGAATTTAGCTCCGGCCAGGGTTTGATGTGTTTTTATCAAGAATTTGACCCGGAGCCTGGAACTAATATTGACGGGGATACTGCAAGGGATATTAGGACGGTCTCGGATTTTAATTCGGGGTTCGTTCGTGAAATTGACATTTTAGTACGGGAAGGTTAAACCGGTGTTTGAACGACCAGAACTGGTGAGGGATTATCACGGCATACCGGATTTGTCGTATCACGATAATTATATTGATGCTTAGAATTGACCTAGATGAATTAGAATGGCATGATTAGGGGTGTATGGACTTTATGCTATATGATGAACCATGGATTGTTGTATGATATTATTGACTTGCCCTAGCCGATATGGACCTTGTTTATGTTGATGATTGCATACATGTTGCCATTTGTGGCTTAACCGTTGATATGAATTCATGGTTGTTCGATCAGGTGTTTTGACATGATGTGATATTGTGGTTATATTTGGATTTACAAGTGGGGGAAATAAACTTCCCAGGGTGATATTATGATGTTTAAGAAGGATGACTTGCACGAGGGTTTATCCCGAGGAAGTGCAATTATACGACTCCTGTTTTACCTATGTTGAGGCAATTATGGCCAGGTCAAGTATATGTGCAAGTAATGAATTATGATTAAGCAAGATGAGATATGTATCATGTATAAGGATACCAAATATGAGTATTGTGGTCTCACGGTCAACTACATAGTAATTAGGGCTCCCTATGCTATTACTCTATTATGATATGTATGATAGTCACACCTCTCATGTGGTGGTGACTGAAGAATTTTTACGAGATATGACCACACCCAGAGCGGTGTCGGGGTATGACTACACCCATAGTGGTGTGGGGTATGTATGACCACATCCGACGGGATGTTGGGGTATGTATGACTACATCCGACGGGATGTGGGGTATGTTTCCCGGGAGAGTTATTAGCATGGGAGGATGGCTGAGGTCTCATCCTAGTGTTTTGGCTTGATTGTTAGATGTATGGTAGGGGTATGCTGGTTATCAACTCACTATGCGATGATTATCTCACTCAACTATAAGCTGACCCTCTTTTATTCTTTTCCTCTGCTTATGCTATGTGTAACCAGATCATCAGCAGCAGCAGCAGTAGATAGGTGTATAGGTGGGAGCTGAGCAAGAGTTGAAGGCAGGATGAGGTATTGTCTTCAACTATTTTGTGCTTGGACTACTAATCGGGATTTTGGCCAATGATCCACACCGTTTTGTAAAAAAAATGTTTTGAGAACGTTTTTCATGTGCATACTAGCTTCTGATGTAGTGTGAGATATCCACAGGTGTGGAAAGTTGATGATATGTGTATATTTTGTGTAACTGTGTAAGTTGTGACGATTATTGCATGTATAAGTATGGTATGCAGTTGTGGAGTATGAAAACTATGACTATGAAAGCCAATGTATATGGTTGTGGATATATATTATATCTACGAATGTAGGGATTCGGATGAATTATTTTTCAGGTCTAGTTGCAAGAACTGTTAGCCCATTACGCGTGTAATTCATGTCGAAATTTTATTTGGGTAAATTTTGATAATTAATGTAACACCCGATATTATTTCCGCTGCAATTGTATGAACAATATGATTAGGTAATACATATAGGGTAGGGTGTTACAGTTTGGTATCAGAGCTCGGTTCCCTCTTTTTGTTGTTATGGCGTACTATACCCTATGGGAGGTTAAACACTCCTAAGGAGGGGAGTAACCCCATAATGACTTAAACTGGGAATTGAGTTTGACATGATTATGTGTATTGATAATGTTGGATGAAATTATCTGCATCATGGTTTTCAAAATTGAGTTTTGAACGTCTATGTTTTCAAGTAATTATTTTTGGGAAATTTTTGTTTTAACCAAGTGAGAGAGTGGGTGAAGAATGAATTTTGTGTGGATCAATCTAAGGCCAATATTTCCTTGTAGCTCGCACGGAAGTTGTGAAAATGTTCCTACTGACCAGTCGAGAGGAGTGGGGGCGGTTGATGCACGACCGCCAGTATTAGACTATGCAAAGATGAAGAGTTTGGGTGGTAGGGACTTCAAGGGAGATGTGAGCCCAGATGCTGTAGTAGAGTGGTTGGGAGAGATGGAAGATGTGTTTGAGTATCTTTATGCAACCCCGGAGGAAAAAGTGCAATATGTTGTTTTTCTCCTAAAGGGGTACGCAAGGAGCTGGTGGTCCTCAGTCTCTAGAGTTAATGGTGAACGAGTTCAGTTCACCTGGGAGGAGTTCCTGAAGGCCTTTAAGACAGAGTTTCTTCCCGAAGATTTTATCAGGGCAAAGAACAATGAATTCGCCAACCTTAAGCAGGAGAATATGACAGTTACTGAGTACACCATCAAGTTTGTTCGACTACTTTACTTTGAAGATGGGTTGGCGGATACTGAGCATAAGAAGAAGATGAGATACTTGCATGGTCTGCGCCTAGGATTGAAAGAAAAGATCCACAGGGTTGATGAAGAGAGCATGGCCACTATCAAGGAGGAAACACTTAAGTATGAAGCCTATGAAATTGAGGGTAGAGAGGAAAACAAGGCCAAAGAAGAAGAGAAGAAGAGGAAGTTTGGAGTAAATTATGATGGACCTCGTTACCCACCCAGGAGAGGTCCTAGCAGTTTTGGGAGAACAACGAGTCAATCTATGTCGGGAACATCATACAGGGCACCAATTTCCTCAGCCACACAATTTCCATTTTGTCAAGTTTGTCAGAAGAGGCATCTTGGAGAGTGTAAGAGATTTTCTGGTGTATGCTTTCACTGTGGCCAACCTGGGCACATCATGAGGGACTGTCCGCATTCGAGAGAAGTAAGAGCTACACAGTCAGAGCCTTCTGTGCAATTTAGTAGAGCCCCATTCAGGGGTGGTTACTAGGGTGGCCGTAGTGGATTTCAGAGTGGTCGTGGTTGTTCACAGGGTGGTAGAGGTGGTGGTCGAAATCAGCCATCAGGAAGTGGTACACAGGGTACCAGAGCACAAGGAGCACCGAGGGTTTATGCAATGACTCGAGGTGAGGCAGAAGTGGCACCAGAAGTTGTGACTGGTATGCTTTCTATCCTTGGCAAGCAATTATATGTTTTGATCGATACTGGTTCCTCGCACTCATTCATGTCATATACGTTTGCACATAGGCTACGCTTAGTTCCATATAAGTTAGGTTATACCTTATGTGTTAAAACACCTGTGGGAGATACCTTGAAGGTAGACTCAGTTATTAGAGGTTCCTTCATTTGTGTGGAAGGAGCTTTCCTAGCAGCAGATTTAATTCTGCTACCTTTTGATGAATTCGATGTCATCCTTGGGATGGACTTTCTGGCAACACATG